TTCTGCTCCTTTTCTTACTTTTCTTGTCTGTTTCACGAAACTAAATAAATTTTTGATAAAAATTGAAATTATTAAGGCAAACATTCACTTAATTTTTTCACAAATAAAAAACAACTTTTTTAGCTGAAAAATTATAAAAAAACAATTAGTAAATTTATAGTTTTTGATCATTTCTAATGAACATTAAATAAATTCATCGTTGACAAAGCAAAAAAATAAGAAAGAAATTTAAAAAAAAAAATTTTTTTTCGATTTTCAATCCTTTTTCTCCATTTGTTTTTTTTTCTTTTGCCTCTTCAATGATTTTAAAATGTTCACTGCGATAATAATAACATTTTTGTTCTTTTCACTTGAATGGAAAAGTCATCTATAATTGAATTATTATCTGTCCATTTCAAATTTAATTCAAGCAAACATTTTATTTCTATCTTTCCGCAAATGACGACAATTCAATTTTATTTTGGTTATATTACAGCAGCAAAAACGAAAAAAAAGTAAAAAAGATAAAATGAAAAAAAGGGGAAAATGACTCAAAAAATTGTTGATCTTTATCTATTTTTTTTAAAGAGCATTGTATTGTTCTAATTAATTTGGAATTGAAATTTTATCCCATTTCTTTAAAACGAAAATCATTTCTCTTTCACTTTTTCACTTCTTTCTCAAATAATGAGGAAAGGAATTATGTTCTGCAAATTAATTCGCTCTTTTTAATTAACTGCTTAAATGAAGCACGAAATGGCACATGTTTAAAAAACATTTTTATCAAATACGCCTAATATTGTGTTAATAAAATGATATGCAAATCTATGCTTCTTAATTATTTTTATAGAAATTTATAGAAAAGAAAACAAATAAATTATTAATATTTCTTCTTTTTGTTAAAAATTTCCATATTGTAAAAGCTATCTAGTAGCATTTGATTATAAAATATAATTAGATAAAAATAGGGAAGATTTTATAATTCAGAAAAAAGAACTATTTTAATCGAAATTTTTTATTACATAAAGATATTGGTACTATTTAAGCGTTTTGTTTTTGCCAATGAAATATTAAAACAATATTTTAAAATATTTACTAAAACGGTTATGAATTATACACTGTAAAAGCAAAAGTATCATTATGTTGCGGCTCATTTGATGCCATCAAATGATAATAGTAAGACTATTATTTATTATTACGTGAGATGTTACAAATTACGTGATAAAATATTTCTGGGAAATTATCATTTATCATATGATATTACATGAGATATTACAAATTACGTGAAAAAAATATTTCGAAATTTTGAAAAAGTATCATTTTGAAATTTTTTTTGAAAGACTATTATTTGTTATATGATATTGCGTGAGATGCTGCAATGTGACACAAATAATACTATTTAAAAAAAAAAAAGTTAAAAAAAAGATGCTTTGTGCCAACTACAATTTAAAAGTAATCCATACCGCAAAATTTTTTAAGCAATATTAATGCTTTTTTGGAAAAATTTTTCATTTATTCTCATTTTTTTGTGCTTCAATTAAGCCTTCATAATTAATTAATGAACGATATGCATCAACACTGTTTCATAACCCAGAAAATAAACAAAAGAAAGTGGTCAGATTTGAATTTCATTTAAAGCTACAATATTATTTCACATTTATGGAATGAAAAAAAAGATTAGTTGAATCAAAAGATTCAAAACAAAAATTCACAGTAATAATAAAAGATTAAAATGATGAGAAATCACATTATTAAATTGATAATATGTACTTTTTCCTTTCTTTATTTAAGAAAAAAAAAACGATTAAGCAATAATATTTGTATTATTTCAGGTGCTGCTTCATCTAAAATTAAAGGAAGTGAAAAAATACGGCATCTTCTTTGATTTACATATTCTTCGCCTTCTTATAGCATTGCATCATCATTCTACCAAAGCAAAAATTTGGAATGATCAAGTCCAATTATCTCCATTCATTATTTATTTCAAAAACAAAAAAAAAAAAAAAAAACGAAAAAAAATTGATCCAATTCAAAATTTAATAGAAATAATAGGAGTAAAAATAAATATTTTCTCTCCATTCATTATTCATTCTTCATATTATTATAGCTTACTATTATTAATATTACGATTATTATCACAATATCACACCCTATCACTATTATCAAATTATCATAATTGTCATTAAAATGACAGATAATTTATAATTAATATTACTGCTGCTCCGTATGTATTCTGTGCTTCCTTATATGCATATGGTTTTATCCGTTATTGACAAATACGGCGTTACTTTTTCCTTCCTTTTTTTTCCCCATTTTGTTCATTGTTTTATTTAAAATAGAAAAATATGAAAATTTTGAAGAAAAAAAAAAGAAAAAAAGGTGTATGTAAGTAATGGTGCAAACTTATTATAAAAAAAAAAAAAAAGAATTGCGAAAAAAAGGGAAAAATTGAAAATGCTGATAAATACATTATTAGAAGTTAATCTTTCCATAGATGTTATGCAATTAAATCTTTGAAAATATCAAAATTACTCATTGAATATATGCCAATGAATAATGAAAGTAAAATTAGAATGAAAAATGATATGGTAAACAATAATGCCTAATAAAGATTGAAATTGTCTCATTCCATTCCTATCTTAACTTATGTTATATGCGAAAAAAAATTTTACCTTACGTCATACGCGCATTTAATGAAGCTAAAACAAATGATCAGTATTATTAAATTTCACATAGTTATAATGCTAATTACATATCCAACAATCTGATGACGTGATCAACTTAATGAAAATGAATAATTCTTTTCACCACTACAATATCACACGTCATATATCTAATAAAAAAAATCAATACCATCAAATTTTTATCATGTTAAATGATGCATATATCATTAAAGTTTTTAATGAGTAAAAAATTATTCTGTTATTGGCAAAAATTTACTTAACATTTCAATGCTTTCTTTTATTCTTTCATTTTTTGCATTAAAATATTTTACATTTCAAAGAAAAAAAAAAGCAAAATTAAGTAATTAACAATTTTAATAAATGGAAAAGCCGAATCAATGTGAAGCAGGAAAAAAAAGAGAGAGAGAGGGAGAGGGAGAGGATGAGAGAAAAATGGAATGAAATAGTATAGCATAGATTTAGATTACACATTTATACAGAGATATAAACACATATTATTCATTACGGATGTAAATTATTAGCATTGGATTTAAAATAAAGAAACCAAAAGGATAAATGAAGATGAAATATTGATGGAAAAACACAACAGATATTAATTTGAAAAAAAAAAAGCAGAAAGATCAGAAAGAAATTAGCATTTTTTTTTAGTTTGTGCTAGAGGGAAAGAAAAGAAAAAGATAAATTTCAAAATTAACAAAAAAATAAAGAAACACAAAAATGAAATCGATGATGTGAGAAATTAGAAAAAACTAGAATTAATGTCGTTCTATAAATTACAACAATGTAATCGATACCTTATTTCAACAAAAAGGATGAATCAAAGGACGGATATTTTTTGAGAATGAAGACTGATTGATTAATTACCGTGATCGCTGGAGAAACCATTTCAATTTTCCTCCATTTTTCTCTTGTTTTTTTTAAACTATCATCACATAGCTCTTTCTAGCTTCCTTTATTTCTAAAAACTAATTATAAGGCCTTATTTGTAGAATTATATCATAGGAAGGAAAAAATTGCTATGTAGCCAAGCGTAAAGCACTTTTCTTTTTCTTTTCACTTCGTTTTTATTTTTTATCTTAATGTAGCCACTTCAATGATTCCAAATTTTTAATGTTGACCAGATGCTATATAATGAATGGATCATTCTTCTAATTAATCAATATCATAACTGCAAAAAAGTCAAAATTGCAAAGAATTTTCAATATTTTCCCGGTTAGAATAGATAAACAATAGTGTAAACAAGCAATGAACCAAACAAAATACATCAACAAAGGAAGTAATTTTGAAAATCTTTACTACAGTGATGAAAATGGCGAAATACATCAACACTTATACACCCAACATTTAAGCTAGACAAGATTTTTTCCACAAGGGAGAGTTTTAAAATAAGTTAGAAAAAAATAAAACTAAGTAAGTCTTTCTAAGCAACAATTATCAAACTAGCCCACAAACATGAATGAATCATATCAATTATTGATGGAAAGAAAAACGGAAGCAAAAAGGAAGACATGAATATGAATATACGCTTTGTAAATAATACATTTTAAGAAACATCATAAAGAAATTTGTTCCATCAAATTATCATGAATTCTAAGTCTTTCACTTCGATAATGATGGAAAATAGAGGAGCAGTTGCGCACTATCCGGAAGACTACCTGCTAATACTATTACTGTGTGGAATTTTCGGACCCTGCATATATTGATCTTGTAATGTGAAACCATCAATCGTCGCCGAAAGATGTTTTGTTGGTATCTGTGAAAATTTCTTCGCACCCGAATCATATCTTAAAGGAAAACAAACAAGTAATTAAATCAATGACTTGTTAAAGATAGATCAAGAAAACTCCACTTTTATAATAAATCGATTTTAACTTATATTAGTAATGCGGATAAGCTTCTGCAGTCCGTTTTTAACTGCCAAGACAGTTAAAAATTATGCAAAATATAAGAAAAACGGTGTTACAAAAAAAAAAAACATAAATTTACCAAGCTTGATTTGCAATGTAGCCATCAAATTGTTTACCAAAGATATGAAGATTGTAGAAAATTAATAATTATAGTTATTCTTAAGTTACTGTTCCTTTGCATCATTCTGTCTCGACTAATTGAGAAGTATAAAATTAAAGCTTGTTGATCAAAGAAACAATCTTTCAATGCTTCCATCAAACGATATTTGCATTCACCTTTATCACATATCAATTTAGTGCTTCTTTTACCAATATAGTAGACATGAATTGATGAGAAAATCGTACTTAAACATAAGGTGCATCATCGATTCATGGCAAATATTGGGGCCTCTTCCGTGAATGCGATGAGCAGTATCCGACTGTTGATCCCAGCTATATGCACCTAAATAGCGACATTTTTGATCCCGAAACAGCAAAAGGAAATGTTTACTGTCACTTTTTGCCAGTTCACCAAGCACCTGAAAATTGTCAGTGGCTTAGTAATAATAAATGAGAGCAAAAGTTACACAGTATAAACATTGTGATTTAGTAGCGATAATTAAATTAATGCTCGACATTGCCAGAAAAAAAGAATCTGTGTACAGGTTTCTTTAAAAATATAACATCTCATATAGTATTTGAAATTGATAAAAAATGCTCAGGTCAGTTTCAAAAATCTAGTCAAGAAAACCTACTTCAGCACGCTGTTTATCCCAAACACTTCCAGGAAACACCGAATATTGCAGAGCATTTATAATCATTGATCGATTCGATTTATGAACATATTTCGAAAAGAGTTTCAATGCTGCAATTGAAATTATTGAACAAACGGTAATTACAAAAAAATACATTTATACTGCATTTAATATCAAATAAATGATAGCAGCAAATTATAATTACAAATGAAAGATGTTATTTACTTGGTTCAGCAGTACTTGGTACGGGAATACGAGCTGATGACGGTGCAGTGCTTTCTTCGAAGCTACTTTGCGGTCGGCCTGAACGTTTCGTTCGTAGATTCATTCCTTCCATCTTAAAAGAAAAAATAATTGTCCCAAACTATTACGAAGTTAAATAGCTACATACAGGAAATAATAAGAGAGAAATTCAAGGGCATAATGTTCCGAGAACGGGCAATTATATTTTTCCAATCTTAAATCGGGCTGTTTTCATTCCCTTCTCTGTTCGACTCTCTTCTCATATTTATTTTCTCTGCCTTCTTATCCTATACTTTTTTGAAATTAAATTCACCATGATTAAATGACAAAGTTTTTTTAATTTTTTTAAACAGCATTTTCGAAAAATATGAGATAAAGTATTACCGTGCTTTTTGGTCGCGGTGTTAAAGGCGGTTGACTATATCCTCGACCATTAGATATTTCATTATTTTCCAACTCTTTTTCCATCTTTTTACGCTTGTATTCATCTAATATTCTCTGCCTGACATATAAGAACAAGTGAAGTGAATTTCCTATTTTACTCCATAAACTTAATAAAAAATCAAGAGTAGGAAAAAGTGACCGTTGTAATTCGCGTTCACGCTTCCGTTGTTCAGCAGCTTCCTGCCTTTCTAATTCAGCCTGTCTTCGTTCGGCATTTTTAGCTTCAATTTCTCCTACTTTTTGCTCAATTTGTTCACGGCGTCGTAAGGTTTTCGCTAACAGTGCTTCACGTTTTGCTTCCATTTCAGGAGTCTAAAAAGTATGCAAGTGAATCAACAATAAGTATGAATTCTAAGTGCTACAAATTTTATAAATTGCATGGTACTGCATAAAATTTGGATCAAAATTTTCATTTATGAAACTGAAAACAATAGCAAGTGAATGATTCAAATTATTCTACTACAGCGATAATTGAAAAAGTCAAGCTATTTCACTGGACATGAAATTACTTCTAAAAATGCAATTAACTAACCACGCTGATGACAGGCTTATCGGCTGCATCATCGACAATAAATTGTGAAGCACGTGTAGATGAAAGCTTTCGATTGATTTGTGAAAGAGGTACATCGGCATTTGTAGATGAAATAGGATCTTTTGGTGGACTCTGTTGATGTCCAGGTTTGTCATCCTCCTCTGTAACATAATATACTTCATGTTAGTCAAAAAGGATGACACTTAGCCATGCAAAAACATAAATTATATAAAAACATTTTTTTTTAAAATACACAGTCCCAATGGGATCAAATTTTAAATCCAATCCAAAGAATTATCTGGTTCAAACAGTTGTACTCTATGATCACAAATGTAAACGGCGAGAAGAAATTGTAACATAAAACCAGTGGAAACACACATAAATGTAATAAATAACTGTTGCTTTTCTCATACTAAAAAAAAAATTCCGAAAATATTGCAAAAAACGTTACTCTGCTTAGTGTAAGGATCAAAATCAGTTTGCTGCAAATGTTGTAGTACATTGGATTCTCTTTGCTGCAAGGATATGGATTCGGGCATTTTGACAAGGTCTACATTTTCAGATGCTCCCGACGACTGATTCTAGAAAACAAAGTTTCGAAATCAGCAATTTTTGTTAGGCGTCTCAAAATTTAAGAAACATCATGCAACGAAACGCCAAACAATAAAGCAATGAAGAAACGAAGAAAAAAATAAGGCTTATGCTACTTGCAGATGTGAAGGAACTCCTGGTGGAAATTCAGGTTGATTCGATAAATCCATTTCACTTTTTACAAATGTTCTATTGTCCCAAGTACGCCTTTGTGGTCGCATCGTCTGTCCAGCTTTATAGGAGAGTCCCCAGTTAGTCAAATTACGATTTATCTCAAGTGATGGATCCAAACGACTCGATGATGCCTAAAACAAAGTTACAACCAAATAGATAAATTAAGAAAACTTACACTAACGATGAACGATCAAAATAAAATAAGCAAAACGAGAACTGACATCATTCCGATGAAGTCGAAATGTATTGTTTGCAACCGCAGTGGAATTAGCGACAGCATTAGTAAGCATAAACGGTGAACCAACAACAGGATTCATACCAGCATCCTGTGAATGCAAAACATATGTACCATCCAGGCTTAGTTGATACTGTGGTGTTGATAGTTGAGAATTAGGAATAACATGCGATGCATAAATAGGCACTGTCGATTGATAGTCCGGTTGACTGGAGTATCCATTCAGAGGCATCTGGAACTAATTATTTCAGCATTTCAGTACCAACAATAAAACTAAGTGGAATGAATATTTCGAGCCAGTTGAGATCGAGAAATACAACTCATTGATATTGCGACCAACAAAAGCAATATTTGATAGATTGTATTACAAATTTTTTTAGAATCTTAAAAATAATCAATAATCACCACGAAACATGTTATCGGCAATTAAAGGAAATTACTTGTGAATTAAATCATTAATTCCTGGTTACAAACCCAGTAACTAATTATCCTGAACCGCTGGAATTAAAGTCTTCGAATTAAATCTGAAAATGGCACCTGCAGTGAATGCATAGGGAACGACTGATTTTTATCTGGTGAATGATGCGTAGGCTGTCCAAATAACTGCGGTTCTACAGGGGCCATGTAAGGTGTCGCGTACGTATGTTGCTGTGTTTGATGCATCGATTTTATTGCATTATGCGGTAAAGTTGCATAAGAACTATTAAGCACATGATTTGGTTCATTTATCGGACCAAATTCTGCAAAAAAAAAACATCAATAGTATTGCTCCAAAAACTTTTATTTTCAAACAAGATTTTCAGAGTAACTATTGAAAATTCGTTCTCCTATGGGCAATCCGTACTAATACAATTGAATACATACAAAAAGAATGCTGAAACTGCCTTTAATATCCTAGCAAGTACAATTGTTTGTTTTAGCACTAATTTATTAACTAAATAGCCTACACCATTCAAAAGATAAGCCAATTGATGTTAACCACCTCGGTTATTCAGAAAACATAATTTTACAGTGTATAGAAGTTGCGCGGAAGATGTAATTCAGGAGAAAACAATAATGAAATACCTGTATGGATGGCAGGTTGAGAAATGGCATGTGTCATTTGACGTTGTTCGTCTACCTGGCGACTTAAATTTTCCTGCTGCACCGACATCTCTTGCAGTCGTTTCTATAGAGAAAAAAACATAAAGAATAAATTAAAAGAATAGAGAACAAAATTAAACTTAAAACAAATTCTTAAGTACCTTTAAATCCTGTACAGTTTCCTTTAAAAAAGATAATTCTTGTGATTGGTATGTTTGAGAGCTGCCTATTTCACTTGCTGCACGTGATCGTGCATCAGAACCCTGTAAATTAATGTTATAACTTGGACTTATCACTATTAAATTATTTTGTATTCGATATGAATGGACTTCAATTGTTTCTGAAATTTTACTTATGCATTTCTCACGCAAATAAAATTAACATATTACTCACAAATAATAACGCTGACTATAAACTGATGCTCACAGAAAAGATGAATAATTGAAGTCAATTCATCAATTCTT